CTTTCTGCACAGGACTCCGATTACACAGGCATTAAGATAAACACTAATTGGGACCTTGTGAAACTAAAAGGCAAAAGACATCATCATCCAAGCAAGGGGGCAGCCTACTAAATGGGGTAAAAAAATCTTTGCCAATTATGCATCTATCTGGTAGGTTTGCAACGTGACTCTGAACAGTTGCATAAGCTCCGTCTATCCCGAGGGTAGCAGAGAATTGAAGACACTCAGTGCAGTGCCTAGCATATTTCAAGGTACCATGGTTATTTTCCTACTTTATTTTTTGTTCGTGTGTGTGTGTGTGTGTGTGTGTGTGTGTGTGTGTGTGTGTGTGTGTGTTTGATAAAGAGGGGGAGCCAGCCTGTGGAGGTAAGAACTTGAAGGAGTTGTTTCTCTCCTTTAATCATGTGTATCCTGGGGATCAAACTCAGGTCATCAGACTTAGCCTAAAGCTCCATTATCCAGTGAGCCATCTTGCTGACCTGCCATGGTTATTTTCATCATTTGGTTCCCAGATTCTGTTGACTCTTAAAGGTCTTCTACTTTGTGTTTCTGGGAAAGGAAACACCCAAATATAAAAGAGCCAGAAAAGCAGGAGTAAACGACCTGGAACTGAGAGGTGGGGCCATGGACAGGCTGAAGAGTGATCAAGGCTCTTCTCCAGGTTAATTACTTGTCACTTGAATGAGGTAATTGACCAAGGGCACAGGAGCCAGCTGGCTTGTATGGCAGAGGTGGAAGAAGCCTCTCTAGATTGTCTGGGTTAGGTAAAGAGGAGTTTTAAAAAGAGAGGATATGAGGTGGGCACATGGATTTGATTGAATTTGGACCCTGGTGCTGCCACTACTGACTCCATCTGCACAAGATGATGACAAAACCTATTTCCTTCCTAGAGACTTTGTTTCTTCAGGCAAGTGTCTCATTGTGCAACCCAGGTTACCCTCACATCCTCCATCCTCCTGCCTCAGCCTCCCAAGAGTGCTACCATTTCAGATGCACCTTACCTTGCCTTCCTTTCTTGAGTAGTGAGACAATTTTAAATACTTGATAAATTTACTAATATTCAGGCAGGGGAAAGAGGTTGAGCCTCATGCAGTGTGGACATTTACCTCTGTCAAATACAGACATCTGCTTATCTCTGGTCATTATTAGGGAACTCCAACAACGAACTGTGTTGCTTGCAGGTATTTTCATTCTTCTGGGGAGCTACTTGTTGAAGATGAACAGAAAACTTTTCCTTTTCTCCCCTGTAAGGAAATAAAACTTGGGAATAGCTTCATGAGTTGCTATTTGCTTATCTGGTTGCTTAGGGTTGTTTATTAGTTTGTGTGTTGTTGAGTGCGGGTGCCCACATTCCACAGTGCTCATATGGAGATGTTGCTTTTCTCTAGGGGTCCCAGGGTTGAATAAGAACTTGAGGGTTACCCAGCAGGCACTAATATCTGCTGAGCCATCTTGTTGCCCCCCGTTTTTTTGACAGGGTCTCACACTCATAGCTGAATCTGGCCTCAATTCCAGTTTATATTTCTATTTGTAACTTCTGTGATTCGTGAATTATAGTTTTTTTCCATTGAACATTATTGCAAAGTTTTCAGATTTTCTTTTCTGTTTTTTTTTTCCTAGTTAATCAGTTATTCCAGCATTGTTTACTGCATGTAGGCAGAAGGGACTGACCAACAGGCCCCAAAGATAGGACATACAGAACAGTGGGTGGGGCAGCTCAAGGACCTGAAACAGGATGTGGTCAGCTCCAGATAGACTAAGCCCAGGGCCCTAGAAACAGATGTGTAAAGGACAGTGGGCGATAGTGATCCATGCTAGCTAGATCAGATCAAAGTGGCCTCAAGACTTCTGTCAGTGCAGCACACGTGGAGTGTTGTACTTTCCCCTGGTAATTCTTCCTTCCTTCCTTCCTTCCTTCCTTCCTTCCTTCCTTCTTTCTTTTCTTTATTTCTTCTTTCCTTTAGGTTTTTTTGTTTGTTTGTTTGTTTGATTGATTTTCAGGATAGGATTTCTTTGTGTAACCTTGGCTGTCTTAGAACTCAGTCTATAGACCAGGCTGGCCTCAAACTCAGAGAGCAGCCTGTCTCTGCCTCCCGAGTGCTGGGTTTAAAGGTATGCACCACACACACCTCCTGGCTTCTAGTAAAATTTTCAATTTTAAGGGGTATGCATGCATCTATTTATAACAGACTGCATTCTAGGTAGAATGGGCTTTGAAGAAAGCATGCCCCTTTCCTAGAAGGACTCCCCACTGAGGGAGGCACATGGGAAGAAACAACAAGAAGATATTAGTTCCAGCCTGCAAGGATCAGCATGACTGCTTGCTTGGTCCACTCTGCCTCGAGTGAATTCTTGCTTCTTGCTGCTCTGGCTATAAACTCTCGCTGGTTGTGTGATCTACTCCTGTGTCCTGACTCAATTCTTCTCCTGGAGAACATAAGAATTGAGACTGCTCCCAGCTTGAGACCAGAGGAAGCCAGAGACCTCCCCACAATGCAGCTGTATGGTGTTCATCAAAAAGATGAATGCTGTGTCACAGATGTAAAGTGATGACGCGCGAATAGAATTAATTTTATGAGAAAATGTCTCTTAATGGATTGCAGTTTTGTTCAGCTAAAAAGCATGTGAAAATTCTGTTATGCCTTTCACACGTCACGTTTTCATCCGTTGAGCATTAATGAACCCTGTTCAGTTTGTATCCCTGAACTTCTGGATGTTTAAATCTATGTTGCAGTACTGGACTGTGGCATTGCAGAAGACAGCTTGTGTTCTTCCTGCTGTTGTAGTAGACACTGTACAGATAGTGGTTGTGCGCTCTTGTGTGTGTGCGCGTGTGCTTGCTTGTAGAGGCTGGAGTTGATGCTAGGAGTTCTTGGCCATCAGTCTCCACCATATTTTGGGGACAGATTCTCAGACTGAACCTGAAGTGGCAAACTTAGCTAGACTGAATGGCTAGCGAGTCCCATCTGCCTGTGTCAACCTTCTCAGCTGGGGTTATAGATATTCTTTCTGTGTTGGGTTTTCTAGATAAGTGATGGATCTAAAGTTCTCTAGCTTCTGGGACACGTACTTTACCATCTCCAAAGCACTGGGATTGGCAGCAAGTCCCTTTCCCCACTGACCATCTTGCTGGCTTTCCTTATAAAATATTATTAAGTATGTTCGAACTGGAGTCCAGGAGAGAGGAAGCACACTCGGAGACTCTAGTTTAACTTTGGATATTGGTTCCCAGGAGCCATCCACTGTTCTTTTGAGATAGGGTTTCTCACTGACCTAGCACTCTCTGAGCAGGACAGGTTAGCTGGCAGTGAGCCCCAGGGCTCTTCCCGTCTCTGTCTCCCCAGCACATGCCACACAACCTGTGCTTTTATGTAGGTTTGGGAGAGCTCAAGCCCTTGTGCCTGCAAGGCTAGCACTTTGCCAACTGAGCTGTCTTCCCCAGCCCAGGAACTTGTATTTCAACCAGAATGACATGTGATTTTGATAGTTTGACTGATTTAAGGATCATTTCAATTTAGATAGATGAGATACTCTCCTAAATACGTTCTGTAATTCTCCTGATAGGTAATCACCTAAACTCTTATAGCCTCTCGTGATTGGAACTCATTACCACCATGCCAGCAAGGTTATTTCATCAGTGATTACATGCAATATTATGCTTCCATAGAAATCATTGTTTACTATCCTGTGTGGATCGGGCCATCTTCTTTGGACAGAATTTCATACTCTTTAGGATATTGGTTTTGAGTGTAGATCTGGGTTCTAATCCTTGCTAAACTCACTTTTCTTATGTATACAGTAGATATGTTTTTACTCGCCTTGAAGTATTGCACTAAAGATTAAATGGGAAAACAATGACAACAAAATTGAAAACAACAGACTGCCTTGGCCAGAAAGATTCTTGAATGTCATCAGACAACCTTTTCTTTTAGGGGAAATGGAGGGGGGTCAAGGTCTTGCTGTGTAATCCAGGCTAGCCTTCTATGACAACCTCATAACTACTGGAATAATAGGCAAGTCCCATCATACTCTGTCAAATAATCTGTTTGATAGACTGTTCTCTATTGTTTAACCTCCTCTTCATGATAAAATTTTATTTCTTGGTTTAAAAAAATTACTGGGTGATGGCCTTTAATCCCAACACTTGGGAGGCAGAGGCAGGTGGATCTCAGTGAGTTTGAGGCTAGCCTGGTCTGCAGAGTGAATTCCAGGAGAGCCAGGACTGTTACACAGCGAAACCCTGTTTCGAAAAAATAAAAAAAAACAAAAATTTATTTTGTTGCATTTACTTATTTATGGGTGTGTGTGTGTGCAAGTGTGTGTTCCAGAATGCATGTAGAGGTTAGAGGGAGGACAACACATGGTGTGTATGTGGGCGTTAGTTCTCCACTTCCAGTTTTCTTGAGTTTATTTTTCTTTTTCCACATTAAAAAAACTATCCATGTATGAAATTTGATGGTCATAAATATTAAAGTGATTTATTACAATTACTTTGAAATCATTGTCATGTTTTGCTTTTTGTATTTTGAGGCAATTCCTGTGTGTAGTTCAGACAGGCCTGGAACTTGCTGCACAGGTGAAGCTGCTGTTCCTGTCACCTCAGGCCTCTTTATACAACAACCTCCGATCTTTTCAGAAAAGTGATTCTTATTTTACACTAAGTTCTTGGTTGTTCTCTAGGAATGTGGGAAATCTGTGTTCACTGGAAGACAGCGAGTGGATGGTAGAAGGCAAAATTTGATCCATTTCATTCAAAAGAAAGTCAGTCTAAAGGAATGGGGTGCCTATATTATAGATGATCAGAAAAAGGATGTGCTTTAATTATAGGTACTTCTGCTGAAAGTATTGGCTCTATCATTGTTCTTAATAAAGAGTGAATGTGGTTTTTAGAATTGCCTGTAACTTTCATTCATGTTCCCAGTCTATAGCAGGAAGCAGAACAAATGTTAATTTTATGAAGTAATTTTATATGTTGTTTTGTTCTGTGTTTCTATTTTTAGGACCGGAGTAGGCCCTATGACACTTTTAACTTGCACTCCTTGGAGAACTCCTTAATGGATATGATAAGGACTGACCATGAGCCTCTGAAAGGTAAACACTACCCTCCCAGTGGCCCACCAATGAGTTTCGCTGATATAATGTGGAGGAATCATTTTGCAGGTTAGGAATATTCATATGTCCATTCTTGCTTGGTGTTTTAAGCAAAAATCAGCTTTTTAATAATTGTGATTTTTTGTTGTTTTTGTTTTTGTTTGTTTGTGTGTTTGTTTTGCTTCTGTAAAGCATTGTGGAATGTTTTTAAAGTTTTCTTTTTTAACCTGGGTTCAGCTACCTACAATAATCATAGCTGGTAACCTTAATCTGTTTAATCTGAAAGAAGTCCATGTTGGGTAGCTGAGGTCATGGTTATAGCATGAAACCTGAAGCCACATTTTCTGGGCTTTGTACATTTGGAATCTTTCGCTGAATCTGCAGAATTCATTTAAGTCCAGGTATACCTCAAGAAAGTATGACATTTAGTAAATCAGTCTCCAAAACCCCTACAGGAGGCTTCATATATATGGTTCCATTGTGTTAGAATCCAACCCTTTCCTAGTATAGGAGCATCAGAGCACAGCTTATTTGCAGCCAGTGGCCCTTTGCACAGTGTGGGCTAAAGCACAAGGAAGATATCTGAAAGTATAAGCATGTTTTGAGTTCAGTATGAGGTAAAGTGTTGCAAGATCAACAATAGTAGGACTTATAGAGACCATGTGAACTCATAATTACAGATGGTTCTTTTTATAGATTATCTGACATTTTAGAGACCCTACAGTATTTTAATAATGTAATGCAAGTTACTGGTATGGAAATATCCACTCCATTTTGAATTAGATCTTTAATTAAAAACTGAACAGTTTGCCACAGGGATGACCATCTTGAGTGAACACTACATCTTCTGGAATCGTGAGGACTTGTTCCTCTCTGACATTCACTAGGATGTGAGCAACTGAATACAGGACATTTGTTTCCTCCCCAGAAATCCTTTTCACCATTTTCTTGTCATGCTCATCATTTTCCTGCTGCTTTTCTTACTTTTCAGTGAAGTAGTAACAATAGGCAATGGAGAAAATAAAGGCTCTGGAGAAAAGCTAGATTTTAAGGCCTTCATCAAAAGAAAAAAAGAAAAGAAAAAATGCTGTTATATTTAGTCACTTACCACATATTTCTTCAGTTAAAGATTAGGTCCATGGTAATTTGAGGCCTGTTATACTTAGAGGTGCGAATGATGTAAAAAATGATACTCACAGATTGTTTTTAGACGCTTTTGAGGTTGCATTTATCGTTTTTCTCTACCATGGATAGCCTCTCCTGATTACCCTACCTCTTAACTCCTGTTCTTTTTGTGTACCTCCTATGTCTTGGGCTGTATTCTCTGCCTTCCTTCCTCTCTCTCTCTCTTCTCTCTTCTCTCTCTCTCTCTCTCTCTCTCTCTCTCTCTCTCTCTCTCTCTC